TATTCGCGGTGATATGCAGTAGTCGTGAAATATGTTTTTCATATCACTAGGGTGGTGAAACTCCAATGTTATATCTATCTGTAATATTCCTAATAACCTATAGTAGTAATATTAATAATAATAAAATACTACTAAATATAATACTATATAGATGACAATGATTTTCTACCATATATTCCCCAATGCAAATGAGTGATACAAATTCTTCGAAAATGGAAATTTCCCCAATTTCTTCACCAACTTGAACGATCATGATAGACTCTTTCCGACGGCCGATTTCCACTCCAATACGCAGATGGGAATTCATCATTTCGGCACAGCAAGTTGCAGCGAAATTTCTCATCCTGTTCGCAGAAAACTGCGCGTCGTTCTACAGCGGAAAATTACAGTTCCGAAATTTAAAATGAAATTTCGTAAAATTTAATTATACACCTTACGGGGTTTCACCTTACGGGGGGGAGTTGAACCCCTATTACCCGATGCTCTTAGTACTGTTCCACGCTCCAGCCAAGATAACCTCACACACTGCCAAGTCGCTGTAAGATGCGCATCGAGTCTTGAGGTCGTTCTCCCATAACGGGTTGAGGTCGAACAGATATACTTCCCATTCGCCCAAATTAATATCACCCTGAAGAAAATCAAAAAATATCAGTGCAGTAGCCACTTATATTTTACTGAGCATTTCGAACTCCCAGTCTGCCGATGGAAGATTTATACATTCTCATATTTCTACAGAATAGGAAGTCCGATAGTGACGAAGTTTAACAAGAGATCTGTTTCTTTCACTTGATTCTAGTAAAAAAAGCCACAATTTTCATTGGTATCATCAATTTCACAGAAAAAACTTTTCTTCGAAGTTGAATGTCGAAATCACCCCACGAACGGACGGGTGAAGCAGAACTGACCTCGGCTAAAGTGCTCGGTGCGAAATCATTAAAGAAGTACTTGAGTGAAGATCCATCGTTGGCACCAAGGTCTATATAAACCTTCTTCCCACGATAGCCACCAGTGTCCCCCGTGGGGCCAATCAAAGCACGTTGACTGCACTCATCGAGAAGAGTATCTTGAGGTTCATCTTGGTAAGATACAAAATAGGTCAGGTTGAGGCTCGTTGGCACTTTCAAAACAGTGCTCCAAGTTGGTCTACGATAATTCCATAGCACATAGAGTCCCGCGACGAGACTCAACAATACAGTGAGAGGCGATACTGCTGACGTCAAGTTACCAGACATAATAACGAGAAGAACCGGGCAAATAATCTCCCTGAGGCACTCAATCAATGCATCGCTCCGCTAAGTTTCGATTTCATGTTTCACATTTTGTTCCAAAAAATCTTGAACGCATTACTCTGGTTTGAATGGTTTAGGTTGATGAACGTTTCACTCGTTACTCGTATAATATACCATGTCAGACTTCGTGTAAAATAAAAATTACTTTACAAAAGCGGTCTTGAAGAATCTCGGGAGCGCAGAATAGAATTGCAGTGTTAAGAGGCGTTTAGAATTAATAAGTGGGAAGCAACGACACTGAGAGTATGAGTATGTAATAAGAATTTGAAAATGTGAGATGTTGACGCACGATTATATCCACGTAGCTTTAAAATATTAATTTGCAAAACGGTTTTGGAAGGTGCTCCTCCCGAGTTCGAACTTGATCTTGTCCAGGCCAGTGTAATCGATATCATCAGTATGTTTCACAGGGGCCTTCTACACCTAGCTAGGCCTCGAGTATTCTTCGATATCAAGATCGGCAAGGCCCCAGCTGGAAGGGTAGAGTTCATGCTCTTCAACGGTGAGTATCTTCCTTTTCGAAACGAAGATACCCTTTGCACGCATGCACATCGATTAGATTCGGTCATTACACTCCCATAGTAGTCTCAGATGTTTGTCCACTGACCGCCGAGAACTTCCGAGCTCTATGCACCGGAGAGAAAGGCCTCGGTGCATCGAACAAGCCCCTGTTTTACAAGGACTCGCGCATGCATCGTATTATACCCAAATTCATGATACAGGTCAGTTCGGTCTTCTCTAAAGCTCCTCTGATGTGTTCTTTTCAGGGCGGTGATTTCACCAAAGGCAACGGCACCGGCGGAGAGTCCATCTACGGTTTTCAATTCCGAGACGAAAATTTCGACTTGAGACATAACGAGGTAAACTCTACTCCTTTCCCACTCTAGTTTGTCTCCTCAGCCATTCCTGCTCTCTATGGCCAACGCCGGTCCCAACACCAATGGCAGTCAGTTCTTCATCACCACTGTACCCTGCCCCTGGTAACACTATTTTCATCTTTTTCAATCGAGGATGTGTTTTCAGGTTGGACGGCAAACATACCGTTTTCGGCAAGGTCGTGGCTGGTACTGACGTAGTGAAGAAAATGGAGGCAGTTGGCACCAATCGTGAGTATCTTATGGTCCTCCGTGTATGATACAAAGTATGTCCAGAAGGTTCCCCTCGAGAAGATGTGGTTATCACCGATTGTGGAGAATTGAAAGAGTGAAGGCATCATGTCTTTCGTCGTTTCTGTTTTGCTCTATGCGAATTTGGTTCAGTATGGGAAAGTATGCACACGGTCAACTACATAGTCGAAAATTTCGGAAAGTTTTCGCAAATTTCTAAACACATTTACCCAAGTTCGCATACAACCTCCTCGATTAAGTTAGAAAGTTGCTGAGTGCAGCTGAGGGAAGCGAATATATATTCCTCCAACACTTGGTAAACTCGACGAAAAATGCATCGTACAACAACTACATGAAGACACCAACATCATTTTATGCGTTTTCATTATGTCATTATATTAGTAAGTTTAATACGTCTTTCATGTTTTTCTTTATACGTCTCGCTTCTTC